AGCCAGCGGCGGAGAGAGGAGGCGTCAGTGAGGTCAGCGTAATGGAGCTTCATCTTGGCTTTTTGGGCATTGTGGGGATCGATGTAAATATGGTTGATGCGTTGGGTATTGAAGTTAGAGGATCGGCGGATGAGGCCATGGACTTCGTAGCCTTTGATGAGGAGGAATTCAGTTAAGTAGGAGCCGTCTTGACCAGTTATGCCTGTGATCAGGGCTACTTTCCGGCTCGTGGGAGGTTGAAGAGCTGGGGAAGGAGAAGCGGTTTCATCGCCGTTGGCCGTGCTGGTAAATCCGGATCTGGAGGTGGTTTGGTTGTCGGTGGCCATTTATGGCAGACCAATGACTGAAGTGTTTGGAGGGTTTGACGGAAAATGGAGGGAGATGGGGAGGTTTAGGTCGGGGAGAAAAGGAAGATTTGTAGAGGGAGCAGAGCAGGATGCCAGGAATACTAAGGTGGTGTGACAGCTCGCGTTTGACAACTAGGACCAGGAGTTTCTGCGCTCTTAAGGCTAGTTTGGAGACTAGTTTGGAGAGTCGTTAGAGAAGAAGATTAATTACTTGCGGGACCAGAAGTAATTGTCCTAAGGCCTAGTTTGGGAGTTTAGGTGAGGAAATTCTATAGTTATGACTTATAAGCCGTCTCATTTGCGAGCTTGAAAAATTGATGCTTTTCCGTTTAATGCAATGGATTTTATTCTTTTATTCTTTTTTTATTTTGTGAAGTGAATTGATTATTTTTTCGGGTATAAAAATTTTTGGATAAATTTGATTCCAATCACTATTATCACGAACCATAGCATACTCCTCGAAACCATAAGTAAAGAAGCGGTTCGTCTTTACTAGACTCTTTTTTTTTTTTTTTAACATCATTCTTATCAAATGGAGCCAACTTCAATTTTCAATTTTAGAGAGAGTATTGATTTGCGATGTCTTTTAAAAATTTTAACTTTCAAACCAATAATAAAAACTATACCTTTTCTGGTTCTCCTTTTTTCCGTTGATCTCCTTAAAAACTAATTTACATGCAGAAGTATTGTCATTGTTAAAGAATTAAAAAAAAAAGAAATATTCCAACTTACTCTTCTTTTTGTTTTTAAAACTAAATACTTTAACTTGCTCTCTAGTGTCATCGTATCTCTTCTTGTCTCTTTATTTAGTAATCACAATCAAGAGAAGGTTTTCATTCATACTTCGTTGCTTTTCTTTTTTGGCATATCTAAATCTATCCATTCAAATGAAAGTGTCATTATGAAAAGGTGGCAATTGATATTCTTGTTACAGTTCAAAGAATGATAAACGAAAAAAGCAATGTAAGTTGCAAAAAAAGAATAAAAAGGAAAATAGGACCAAAAGATGAAATATCTTAAGGGAGAGAGTGTAAGCAAGAGGTCTCGGGTTCAAATCCTCGTACTTACACTAAAAAAAAAAAATCTTAAACATATGGAGAGGGAAGAGGAATTTATGACATAGAACACCCTGCACCCTTTTTCTTATCTTTATTAATTAGTCTGATACACTGAGGAGATTTAGGTAGGTGGATAAAAGATTTCTAATCCAGCACAGGCAAGACCTTAAAAAAGGAGTATACACTCTACGATATAATTCACATTCAGGTTGCCAAACATAGGTTGAATTTGGAGTTAGATGTTACTACTTTGTTAAAAGATTTATGATCTAGCCCAAGCATATACCTAGACAATAAGAATGGTTTGCAATATCATTTACACGTACATTGCCAGTTATAGCTTGAATTTAGAGTTAGATGTTACTCTGTTAAAAGATTTCTGATCTAACCCAAGTACGAACCTAGACAATGAGAATATTTTACGATATACTTCATGCTTGCATTGCCAACTTTAGTTTGAGTTTGGAGTTAAAGTGTCATTTTATTACCAGATTTACAAGATGTCTTAGGCTATAATTAGCCTTAGATCTTATGGTGCTACTTTGTTCCAGGGATGGCAATTGAGGGAGGGGATGGAGTGGGATGGGGGTTGTAGTGGGGCCCATATGCACGTTAGCTCGGGCAGAAAGAACTGACTGACCTGGCAAGGTAGCTCGAACAGTCAGGGGACAGTTCGTGCGGTGGCCGCCTCTCGATTGGATGGGCCTGATGGGCCGCGACGCCCGAACTTGTCGGGGCTAACAAGCGGAGCCCTAGGAGGAGTTCCCCTCCGCTGAGGACTCATTGTCCTATAAGGAAACTATCACCAAGGACTCTATAAATACAACGCATTGGGAGGACACAAGGTACACCACTCATAGTTCATTATACTGTCACTTCGACCTAACATCTCTACTGACTTGACCGTCGGAATTGCTCCGGGGAACTAGCCTCGCCGTTTGTCAATTTGCAGGTCGGTTCGCCCACCTAGCCAGCTCGCTCCCTCTCAGCTCGCTCAACCCGTCACAGCTCAGCTCGGATCTTGTTTTTGGCAGTCGTCTCAATTGGCGCTGTCTGTGGGAATCAATTACTTTCTCTTGCGAAAACATGTCAAGAACTAGATCCCAGAGGAACGTGGACGGATCTAAGGGGAACGAGCAGAGTGATCCACAACACCCCCGTCAAGATCCAATCCTGGAGAACGAGAGGTTTGAGCTCTTGCGGATCCTGCCAGAGCAGCTGGTGCAATCGGTGGCAGTGAATCTGCCTACCTTTGAAGCCGTTGTGAACTACCTGAAGGGACAATTTGGAGATCATCCCGGCCATGCGCACAAGGCACGGAAGACGAACGGAACTGGGCCATCGAAATCTAGAACAGGAAGCCCTAACCCTCGACCGAAGAGGGCACGGGAGGAGTTCATGCGTGAACAGATCGAGGTTCTAGAACCCTCCCACAAGAACTCCCGAACTGATCACCCCGAGCCCATCTCAGGGCTCCCGCGGAGGGAGTTCCCTCCCAGGAAAGAGGAATACCAGATGCAGGATGAACTGGATATGTTGTTAGATCCGGAGGTGGACAGGTGCACCGCCTCTCCCTTCGTACCTGACGTTGAAGATTATCCGCAGCCCGCAAAGTTCAAGATACCCTCCATGAAGTCCTATGATGCGACCACAGACCTAGAAGATCACCTATTTGCATTCCAGATGCAGATGCGCCTGCAAACGGCTGCTGATGCCGTTAGGTGTAAGACCTTTTCGATGTTCCTGGAGGGAAAGACCCGTCAATGGTTCCAGAGATTGCCTCCCAGGTCAATTTGGTCTTTCAGCCAGCTCGCACGGCTGTTCGCAGCTCAGTTCGTGTCCTCACGAGTCTTTTCCAAAAGCACGGCTCACTTGATGACAGTTCACCAAGGGCCTGAGGAGTCGCTGCGCGAGTATATGGTGCGCTTCAACAACGAGTCCCTCCAGGTTCGGGATCGGGATGATAAGGTGGTTATGGCTGCCTTCGTCAATAGATTACGCAAGCAGAAGCTGTATACAGAGTTCGTGGAGAGACCTCCCAAGTTCGTTCGGGAGATGCTAGACCGAGATCATGAGAAGGCTAATACCGAAGAGGCCAACCGCTTGAAAGGCGCACAGGAAAGGCTGAAGGACGACAGGCGCAGGAAAAGCGCCGAACTGGGGGGGCGCGACCTGATCAGGGACGGAAGAACGCCTTCGACCGCCTGTCCCGAAGCCGACCATTTGAGAAAGAAAAGGCATGGACCTCGCTCACAGTGTCCAGGGCCCGGGTCCTCGTCGTGATGGAGCAAGAAGGTCTCTCTCGGCCTCCCCGACCACTAGCCGGTGATAAGAGCCAGCGTGATCAGGGCTTGTATTGCGCTTACCATCGTGACGTAGGGCACGATACCGAGGACTGCCGTCACCTCAAGAAAGACATCGAAAAATTGATCAGAAGAGGACATCTCGGGCAGTTCATACGTGACGGACGGACCGACCAGAGACAAAGGGGTACAAACGGAACGTGCGAATTGCTCACGTGACCGACCTCGGGGCCCCCAAGATCGAACTTCCAAACAAGAGGTACAGAACCTAGCCTGGGTGATCAATACTATTGCGGGAGGGCCTGTCGGGGGAGATAGCCATACGGCTCGACGGAACAACCGACCCCCTCCCAGTGGAGAGAGCTCGAACAAACGCTTGAAGATGTATGAGGAGATAATTTATGGGCTTGAGGTTGCGGTACCCCTTGCCTCTAATAATCATAAGGCCATCGTGATAGAGTCATAACGTGCAATTACAAAGTAAAAAAGGTGTACATAGATAATGGGAGTGCCATCGATGTACTGTACTACAAGACCTTCAAAGAGCTGCAGCTGGAGGATAAACAGCTCATCCCAATCCGCACTCCCCTGATAGGTTTCGCAGGTCCGCCTGTAAGACCCGAGGGAATGATAACTCTCATGGTCACGGTAAGAGAGTCCCCGAAATGTCGAACTGTCCCGGTGAATGAATTTTGTAGTGGTGAACGAGCCATCCTCATTCAACATGATACTGGAACGACCGACCCTAAACGCACTACGAGCCGTCTGCTCGACTTTACACCTTAGCATGAAATTTTTCACACCTGCGAGGGTAGCTGAGGTGTTAGGGGATCCAGAAGTAATTAGAACTTGCTACATTGCGACTCTCAAGGGTAAGGAGAAACTGGTAGCTCAAACAGCCTATCTAGAGCCCTGGGAACCTACGGAGAAAGAGGAGAGGCTGGAGACAGATCTGCCCGGAGCAACCCGATCGCATGGTCAGGACTGGCTCCTGCCTGTGCGAGCTAACGCGGAGGGCATTAGAATCACTCCTAGAGGAATACGCAGAGATTTTCGCGTGGAGTGTTGACGACATGTCCGAAATTTCGCCCGAACTAGCAGTTCATAAGTTACATGTAGACCCAAATGTCCGACCGGTAAAACAAAAGAAAAGGAACTTCGCACCCGAACGAAATGAGGTCGTCAAAAAAGAGGTAGACAAGCTATTGGAGACCAAAATCGTGAAAGAGATCTACTACCCGACCTGGTTGGGCAACCCTGTACTGGTCAAAAAAGACGACAGGGCATGCAGGATGTGCGTGAATTTCACCAACCTGAATAAAGTTTGCCCGAAGGATTGCTACCTGCTCCCACGAATAGACCAGCTGGTGGACTCGACTACGGGGTGCGAGATCTTTTGCTTTTTGGATGCCTTCAAGGGGTACCATCAGATAGCCCTGGATAAGGAGGACCAAGAGAAAACCTCATTTATCACCGAATACGACACATATTGTTATACCACCAGGCCGTTTGGACTGAAGAACGCTGGCGAGATCTATCAGAGGCTGGTCAACAAGCTGTTCAAGAACCAGATCGGCCGCAACATGGATGTCTACGTGGATGACATGCTGGTGAAAAGTCGAACTCAGGAGCAGTTCATCGACGATCTCAGAGAGATCTTCAGCGTCCTTCAGAGCTCACGGATGCTGTTGAACCCCAAGAAGTGCACCTTCGGAGTTAGATCGGGCAAGTTCCTTGGGTACATGATATTCAAATACGGAGTGAGAGTTAATCCCGACAAAGTGAAGGTATCATGGATATGGCTCCCCCCGGAACATAAAGGAGGTCCAGTGATTAGCTGGCAGGATGACAGCTCTGAACAGGTTCCTGTCGAAGTCCGTAGTTGCTCAATTGCCCATATTACTCAGTTGCCAGCCTTAACCTCCCCCGCACAGGAAGAGACCCTATTCATATACCTAGCGGTGGGAAAAGAGGTGATCAGTGCAGTGCTGGTTCGGGAGAAGGACCGAGTCCAGAAACCCGTGTACTATGTCAGCTGAGTTCTGCAAGGAGCAGTGTCAAGGTATACTGCAGTTGAACGGTATGTTCTAACGCTAGTTCACGCGACCCGAAAGTTCAGGTCATACTTTCAAACTCACCCCATAATAGTGGTGACCGACCAACCCCTGAAACAAATCCTCTCCAAACCCGACGTATCGAGAAAGATGGTGAAGTGGGCTGTGGAGCTATCTGAATATGACCTCGGCTATCAGCCCCGTACGGCTATCAAGGCCCAAGCGTTGACGGATTTTATAGCAGAGGGCGTCTCTTTCGGACTGTAGGGAGCCGAGGCCGAGTTGACCAGAGACACAGCAGAGGCCGAACAGGCCGGAGAAACTGTCGAGCTCACACAGGCCACAAAAGCAGCCCAGGCCGAGCTGACCAGAGACACAATTGAGTTCGAACAGGCCGGAGAAGCTGCCGAGGTCACACAGGCCATAAGGGCAGCCGAAACCGAGCAGACCAGAAAAGCAGCCGAGGCCGAACAGGCCGGAGAAGCTGCTGAGGTCGGACAAGCCGGAGAGGCTGCAAGGCGGACCACTCCGACCTGGACATTGTTTGTGGATGGCGCATCGAGTAAGGAAGAGTGCGGAGTTGGACTCCTCCTAACCAGTCCCACGGGGGAGGAACTGGCCTACGCCTTAAGATTTGACTTCAAGGCCTCCAATAACGAATCTGAATATGAAACTCTGATCGCGGGGATGGTGATGGCTCAGAAATTGGGGGCTGAATCGATTAGGATCTACAGCGACTCGCAGTTGATAGTGAACCAAGTGTTGGGAAACTACGAAATCAAAAAAGAACCACTGAAAAAGTACGTCGCCAAAGTGCATGAACTGAGAATTCAGTTCAAACTGTTCGTAGTCGAACAGGTCCCGCGAAGCCGAAATAAGAGAGCTGATGCTCTGTCCAAGCTGGCCTCCACCTCGTTGGGCATGCTAAACAAGGAAGTGCTAGTTGTGATCTTCAGAGGTCGGGCATATGATCAGTTGGACGCGGCAGTTATTTAAGTGATGGGCTCATGGATGGATCCCATTGTGCGGTATCTAGCCAATGGGGAACTCCCCTCAAGTAAGATAGAAGCTCGCAAGATTCTCCTCAAGTTGCGGGGATATGTGCTCACGAATGGAGTGCTCTACAGGAAATCCTACCTACGTCCATGGCTGAGGTGTGTGACGCCGGAGGAAGGGGACTACATCCTGCGTGAGCTGCATGAGGGTCTCTGCGGAAACCACGTCGGCCCAAGGGTTTTGGCCAAAAAGGGAATGCTGTCTGGGTATTACTGGCCTATCATATTCCTGGACTCGGCCGGACTGGTAGCACGGTGCAGATTGTGCCAACTGCACGCACCAGTTCGTCACGTCCCAACTCAGGAGATGGACCCGCTTCAGAGCTCTTGGCCGTTTTTTCAATGGGGAGTCGACCTGTTTGGCCCGTTCCCCCTAGATCCAGGAGGTTATGAGCACTTGGTGGTGGCCGTTGACTACTTTACTAAATGGGTAGAGGCCGAACCACTTAACATCATCAGTAGCAGGTCGGTCCAGAAGTTCCTCTGGAGGAACATTGTTTGTCTGTTTGGCATACCCCGAGTCTTGGTCTCGGACAACGGTCAATAGTTCACCGACAGTTCTCTCCAAGGTTGGTGTTCAGAGCTCGGAATCAGACAGCACTTCACTTCGGTAGGCCACTCCAAGCCAATGGTGAAGTAGAAAATGTCAATAGAACTATCCTGTACGGCTTGAAAACTCGGATAGAGTCCGCTCGGACTAGGTGGATTGACGAACTGCCTACCATACTATGGGCTTACCGAACTATTCCTCGAACTGCCACCCAGGAGACTCCATTTGCCCTAACCTACGGGACAGATGCCGTGATTTCCGCGAAGATTGGTGTTCCCTCGGGCAGGGTACAGAACTTCATAGCCCAGGACAACGAGGACGAACTACGGCTCAACTTGGATCTGCTCGAACAAAGGAGAGAAGAAGCGGTTATACGTATGGCTAAGTATAAGGGACAGGTCGCGCGACACTACAATGCTAGGGTGAGACGCCTCTCCTTTAAATCGGGGGACCTTGTCTTGCGAAAGAATACCGTAAGTCGGATCCGGGGTACAGGCAAATTGGATCCAAACTGGGAGGGCCCTTATGTGGTGAAGGAGGCAGACCGAGCTGGATACTGCAAGTTAGCACATCTTAGCGGAGAAGAAGTCCCATGTACTTGGCATAATTCCAACTTGAGGATCTTTCATTAGAGCTCAGCTCATGCATGGCCTGTGCTCCGACAGGATGGAGGCCAGCTCATGCACGTCAGATCGTTCGTATAACTAGATTTTTATTAATGCCAATGTATTCGATTAAGGTTGAATTATCTCGCATAGGTTAAAAGCCAGCTCGTGCTTATCGAGATCAATACCAGTTCGCGCAAGTGTATTTTGATGTTATGACAAGAAAGTTATGAATGAAAAATAAGGCTAAGTGTCAAGCAAAAGAAAGGCTTCATTCCATAGAAAAGAAATGTACAAGGGAGAGTAGAACTCATACAAAAAATGAACTGGGACTAGACAGTTCGGGTCTCTATCCTAGAATCCTACTCTAGTTCTCACCCTCCTCCTCTTCCTGTTCGGACTCAGGAGTGGTCATTGGCGGCAAAGGATCAGCAACCAGATCTGTCAACTTCCGCCCGCGTGAGTAGCCCTCCACCAGGCGATCGACCTGCTCCACAGTGCTGGGGTTGTAGTTCGGGAATTTCTCCAGGTCAAATCCCAGCAGACCCAGCTCTTGCACTTCCTTCAGCGCCTGGGTGTATCCATGTTATAGCACTGGGGTGTTCAGGATGGCCAGGTCACCCCTGAAGTCATCCAACCTCAAGAATGCCCGAACACCCTCTTGGCGTCCTTCAGTCCTGGCCGCTGTCGTCTGAGCTGCCAGCTCGACGCCTCTTTGCTGCTCCTCCTTCAGCTGGGAGGTCAGTTCAGCATTCTTCTTCAGCTCCAGCTCGAAGTTCGAGTGGACCTGCGCGAGTTGCCTTTTCAGGCCCTCGGCCTCCGATGTGGCAGCTTCGTACTGGCTTAACAGCTTTTCATTAGCTGCTCTCATCTCGCTCTTTAGCGAGAGCACGTTCATCTGGTAAATCGATTTTGGAGGACAGGTCAGTCTTAAGAAAAGACAATTTTTACCAACAAGGGCGAGCAGGGTGTGAGGAGAAGACCGACCTGAGCTGCTCCCGTGTAATAGTAGTCGAGGAGGTCGGAAGGATTCATGGTTTTGACCAGGTTATAGTCCCGCGGAAGGATGGCCCCATGCATGAGCTTCCGAGATACCTCCGGGAACTGAGCTCGATCGTTAATAGACAGCTTCCATTGGGGGCAGAAGTATCTGGGGTCGAAGAACGAGGTGCTTTGGTGCTGCCACAGGCCAGGAGGAGCCTCAGCTCGGGCCTGCTCCTTGGCGGTGTTGACACCATAGTGCCCGGTTTGAACAGGGTCAAGCATCGACCCCTCTTCCCGACCACGGAACGAGGTCGTCTCCACCCTGGCTCTCTTGGCAGTGATTTTCTTCTTCTTTTTCTTCCTTGTCTCAGCTGCTTGGGAGGACTGAACAGGGATTGGTTGAACAGGCGGGGTAGGTGCCGAGTTGGCTGGGATAGTCGAGGGAGCTTAAGTTGGGGTGTTCGAACTGCCTGTGCCCCCAAGAGTCAGGAGCTGCGAAAACCTCTTCACTGCATAAAAACGAAGTTCAAGCAATTAGTAACCACACGAGCTAAAAACTCAGCCCCAACAAACAAAAGACAAGGACAAGAAGATTACAGGTGGCCAGCTCATCCGGAGAGAGAGCTGTACTTTCTGGGGACGGATCCGAGGAGTTAGTTCGGATCAGGCCAGCCGCCCAGAGTTGGGCATTGCTGAAATCCTTCACATTCAGCCTCATGTCCGAGCTGAGTAAATGATTGAGCTCGAACACTGGGAGCGGGGAAGGAATGGGATCAGAAACTTGAGTCTCCGCTCTCCAAGTCAGGGGAGGAAGACCCAAGTTTTTCACATAGAAGAAATGGGGCTTCCAGTTCTTGATAGAGAAGGGCGCGCCCGCGAACAGCTCACAGGTGGGGGTTTTCGCTCCGCTCCTACGAGCAAAGTAGAACCACCAGGGCACTTTGCCGCTGATCTTCATTTGGAAGATAGCCCGGAACAAATCAAGTGAAAAGGGGATTTCGAGCACGCGACAGAGAATGAAAAAACCTATAATGGAGCGAACAGCATTTGGGATGAGCTGGGTTATGCAGATGCCCCAGAAAGTGAGGATCTCAAAAAGAAAATTGGGGATAGGGAGGCGAAGGCCAGCTATCAGCTGGTCCCTGTAGATTGCCACGAACCCGGGAGGAGGTTGTCTAGCAACTTCCCCAGGCCGGGCGGCCCTGGGTTCGAACTGGGCAGGGATTTCATACTTCTCTGTCAGTTCGTCGACATCTTTTTGCTCCAGGGCAGGGGGAATAGTATCGACCTCGCCGAAGTCGCCGCTAAATCCCCCCGAGGTCCCACTACTGCTTGGTCTGGAGCTGCTTGTGCAGCAGCTCTGACAGGAGGCTTGATGGGTTGTTCGGACCAATTCATTGTTCTAGCAGGAGACAGAACGGGGGAGGGTACAAACTTTGACCCAGACGAACTAGAAGAAGAAGGGGAACTAGAAGAGGTAGAAGAACTGATATCTACAAGTATGGGACGAGCTATCCTACGCCTAAGGGCTGAACTGGTAACGTCAGAGCGTTCAGAGGAAGAAGAAGACATAAAAAGGGAAAGGAAACTTACTGGTGAAAGGAGGAGGTCGGATGAAAGACTGATCTAAAGGATGCGCGAACTGACCCTGTGTGAGAACCCAAAAAAAAAAACAATCAATCACACTTTCTCAGTATTATTTTATTTCTTTGCCTACATTTTATACTTTCCTTGGACATATTAAAATTTCTATACATTTTTACAAGCAAGTACAGTTTTAAATTCATTTTTCTAGTATGATTTAGTGTACGTTAAATTTGGAATGCATTGTCGATGTGGGACCCGCTAGTGCGATAAATGTGGTGATTAAGAGTGAGTTTTGGATTGTTATTTCGTTTGATCTTGTGGTTTTATTTCAGATTTGATTGAGGTTTGACTGAGTTCCGACGAGAGTTAGGCAGGCGGTCCGCCGAACCCTTTGGTTCGCCTTAGGGTGAGGTGGGGCTGTCACACCCTGGGCTCTTAAAGTAAGACAAGCGGGCGGACTCTCGAAAGGAGGAAAGAAAAATGAAGGAGCGAACTGATGAAGCGAAAGAAGGGGAGTGAAAGTGACGCCTGGAGGGCTTATTTATAGGCAACCATCAGGGCGGGAAAACGAAGGGGCGCGCATTTATTTTCGAATTTATGTTGGGAACCGTCATTATGAGGCGAGGTGACAGTTGAGGTGACGGATATGTGAACCGACGCGACGGTTACTCGAGCGAATGCCAGACGAGGGGGCCCCACGCCGAACTGACATAACGCCTCGAAATTCGGTCCAGATTCACGCGACTACTCGATGACTCTAGACTAAAAGGGGGGCTAGTGTAGTGGGGCCCATATGCACGTCAGCTCGGGCAGGAAGAACTGGCTGACCTGGCAAGGCAGCTCGGACAGTCAGGGGACAGTTCGTGCGGTGGTCGCCTCTCGATTGGATGGGCCTGATGGGCCGCGGCGCCCAAACTTGTCGGGGCTAACAAGCGGAGCTCTAGGAGGAGTTCTCCTCCGCTGAGGACTCATTGTCCTATAAGGAAACTATCACCAAGGACTCTATAAATACAACGCATTGGGAGGACACAAGGTACACCACTCATAGTTCATTATACTGTCACTTCGACCTAAAATCTCTACTGACTTGACCGTCGGAGTTGCTCCGGGGAACTAGTCCCGCCGTTTGTCCATTTACAGGTCGGTTCGCTCAGCTCGCCAGCTCGCTCCCTCTCAGCTCGCTCAGCCCGTCACAGCTCAGCTCGGATCTTGTTT